TATTGTCTATGTTGCCTTAGTTACAAGGCCCATGAGGGCAGCTCCGAGTGCATGCACGCTCAGTCATGTCCCATTCTTTTGAGACTCCCTGGACTGTAGCCCGCCAGGCTCCTCTGCCCATGGACTTTTCCAGGCAAGAATACTAGAGTGGGTTGCCATTTCCTACTCCAGGGGGTCTTCCCAAACCAGGGATCGAACCTGCGTCTCTTATGTCTCCTGCATTGGAAGGCGGGTTCTTTACCACTAGCGTCACCTGGTAAGCCCATGAGAGCAAGAGTCATGTCTATTTGATTTTGGACTTGAGCCCCATTAGCTGGAGCAGTGCCTGGAACATTGTAAGTGATCAGCACTTATTTGTTGACTGAACAGATGAATGGATAGCATAATCTATAGCGTGTGGTTGACACTCAGTTGATGTAGAACTCACTCAAGCTATCTGGGTAAAGAGCCCTAGTCTTCCTCTTTCCTCTCTGTCCACACTCATTCAGTCAACTCATTCCACAAGTATTTCTTGAGCACCTACGATGTGCTAAGTATTGTTCTGAGATTCTGGGGATACATCAGTGAGCAAAACAGACACAAAGTCCTGCCTCGTGGAGCTTGTGTGAGCAGACAGGCAAAAGAACGAGGAAGTAATATACAAGGAGGCCATCTGGTGTGAAGAGCTGTGAAGAGAGGAACAGCCAGGAAAGTGGGAGGCAGTGAAGTGCAAGGGTGGTCAGGAAAGGCTGCCCAGAGGAGACGATATGTCAGAAAAGATCTGAAGGAGGGGAGGGGATGAACTCATAGCTTTCTGGGGGAAAGTCTTCCAGGCAGAGAAGACAGTAAGTGCAAAGGCCCTGGGGTTGACGATTGGTAGAGAGGGCTGGGTGGAGGGAGGCCATGGGGACTGCTTGAGTGGGGCCTTATAGACCGTGGTGAGGGCTTTCAGTGCTGCCCTGAGAAAGAGAAGAAGAATGTGATGAGCCTTCTATCATCTATTATCAAGGGCCACTAGAGGGCTGTGTTTGTGGCTGGAAGACTCTGAGTTTGTACCGTACTCACCAGGGAGCTGTATCAGTCTTCCTGCTCTCCATCCTTCTCATGGGAGGCAGTTTGTTGCCACCCTGGACACTGGCTTGGCTCTGCCAGTCCCTTCCCTCCCTGGACCTTGGTGTCCCCTCCTTGAGGCTACTGGTGACCCTGGAAGGCGGGAGGGCAGGCTTCTGCTCTTGACGGCCACCTTCAGCAGCCAACTGAGCTCAGCCAACACTGAGCACGTGTTCAGCTTGAGGCGTCCGATTACAGAGGAAAGGATGAGGCTCAGTTTGGTCCTCAGGCTGGGGGTTGGGGTGGGGTGTGGGTCCCTGGTAGCTTGGTTAGGAAGCAGACTCTTGGAGGGCAAAGCTGAGTGGCATTGCAACACTGCATCACGTACACAATGCCCAAGGGGTTGGTACAACGGTAACAGTGGTTAACAATTAAGTTGGTCTACTCAGCAACAGTAAAATTAGATATTAGGGGTCAACCTGACCCATGAAGGGGAGCCATGGTCACCCAGACCTCCGCGGTCTGGAATCAAACGGTGATGCCTCAGAGGCCACAGGCCCCGACTCTTCCCAACCAGGTTTGTTCCAGGTCACAGGGCTCCCGGGCTCAGGGATCAGAGATCCCCACAGGGACGGGCGGGCCCAGGGTGGCAGGCAGGGAGTAGAGTCAACCTCTGGGGTACGGAGCTTAGATGACCCAAGGTGAGGGCAGGTGCCTGCTCTGGGGAGCCCCCAGGGGACCCCAGCACAGTGTCTGGACGGGCCTCGCTGGGCCTCCAGGTCCTGTGAAGGGAGGGGCTGGCTTCCCTCAGGGAATCCCCAGGCCTGCCACAGGCTGCCCTCTGGGAGGACAGGGCTTGGGGGTGCTCGCTGAGCCGGCAGGGACTCCCCGGCCACACCCAGAGGGTTCCACTGACCTGTTCCTACTTGGAGCTTCCCTGTGAATTTCAGTTTAGGAAAGCGTTCGGCCGCTTAAACAAGGCTGTGAATGACCCCTACAGGGGTTTCTTCCCAGTGAAGGCCGTGCCTCCTGGACTGAGGTCCAGCCCTGGGCTTTCCTTCTGGGATTTGCAAGAGCAAACTTTCAACAGGGTCGTAACCACCTGGGGAAGGTCATTGAGAAACAGGATCTGAGGGCCGAGTCTTGGAGCTTCAGTGAGTTTTCCTTCTTCCCACTGTCCTTCATGGCAGATTTTGTTAGGAAATGGAGCTCTGTGGCTCTTTCTTCCACCCAGACACACTGTTGACATAGATGCTTCTAGTCAGCGAGACGGGGAGAGAGAGGTGAGCCCTCGGACAGGGGTGTGCCCCGCCAGGACCCTCCTTTCTGCAGAAGAGGAAGCCCTCTCTGAACAGGGTCTGATAAAGGGCCTTGGGCCAGGATGGGGTCCTGGTGTTGAAGGACAGGCGGCCCTTGGCCCCATGGTCTTCTTCCTGCACACCCAGGACCTCCACCTCCTTCCTGCTCCACTGACTTCACCCGTCTCCCCACCTGGATGCCTCCCCAGTGGGCTTTGGAATGACGGGTAGGTTCCCTCTGCTTCCTTCTTCCTGGTAAGTTCTGAACAAAAAGCTCACAAGCCCTTATTGTGTTAGGATCTTTACTGCTGACCACAGGGGGTAGAGGATGGAGTCATCGCAATGACAAGAATGAGGAAGGGGTGCTGTCCTTTGTAACAGTTATCCATGGGGCTTTCTCGCCAGTGTTTGGGCAGGATTCCCCTCCCCCAGCCTCACTGCCGCACTGTCCTGGAAGGTCACTCCTGTTCCTCATCTGGTCTTCCCATTCTTGGTTGCCAAATGACTCCTGATTGCATTTAGTCTCACTTCCTTAGAGAAACTGCCTCTGCCATCAAGTCACATGGTTTCCAGTCCACCCTCCCCTCTCTGCCCCCGCCTTAGCAACTTGCACTAATACATCTGCCCTATTGCAATGGTCACCATACAGGTCTGTCTCTAAGACAAGAAGTGTGCTTCTGTGGGGGAGGGACACTTTGTACATCCTCCTCCCTTGTGAATATTTTGTATTCCTGCCTCTTACTCCTTTTTTGGCTCTGCGCAGGACAGGCGTTACTAATCAGTCACGGCACTCTGTTTTTTTTTTTTTTTTTAATAATCCTAAACCTAACACTTTAGGATCCAAACAATCATAACCCCCTCTCATAATAACCATCATAACATAATAAGCAATAACAACCAACTATAGCCATTTCTGTCATAATCATAAGAGGAATCCACTGTGCTATCTGGCCTTACGGGTTCCCTAGCAGATGTGTATCCTGGTTCTCTTCTGTCACCTGACACTCATCAATTGTTGGGCTGTCAGTAGGACAATGGAAAACAGTGAAGTCCCTTGGAAATGTGCCTCTTCTCATCAAGAGGAGAGGAGGAATTTGGGACACACAACAGGAAAAGCTATAGGATTGAGAAAAAAAATCCAAGGTTGAATGTAACTTTCATCTGGATGGAGCCTAATGCAGACGTCTGGCCCTAAATCCTGCCTGATGACAGATACAAGGCATGGGTTCCTGGTATCCTTCCAGAATGAAGCTGCAGGAGATCAGGGGTTAACAACTCATGGCAAGGAAGCTGAAGTGTCATCTCATAGTGTCCACATCTCTGCTGAAAGGCAAGGCAGGGCTCACTCAGGCCAGGATAACAAAAGCAAGTCCTGAAAGCCATACACTCCTGACCAAGAGTTACCGACCATCAAGAGAATTTTTTGGGAAAAAAAAAAAAAAAAAGAACAACAGGAAACCTTCTAGGTAGGTTGTGGGAGTTTTACCAGTCTGGTGATAAAGACCAGGGATCCCAAAGTGAAATCTACATAAGAGAGGGATTGTGGGCAAAGTTGGAGGAAGTCGGAGGCTGGTTTGGTGGGTTTGCCAGGCTGGACAATAAAAAGACTGAGTGCTAAAGAATTGATGCTTTTGAACAGTGGTGCTGAAGACTCATGAGAGTCCTTTGGACAGCAGGGAGATCAAACCAGTCAATCCTAAAGGGAATCAACCTTGAATATTCCTTGGAAGGATTGATGCTGAAGTTGAAGCTCCAATACTTTGGCCACCTGATGAGAAAAGCTGACTCATTGGAAAAGACCCTGATGTTGGGAAAGACTGAAGACAGGCAGATAAGAGGGTGACAGAGGATGAGATGGTTGGATAGCATCACCAACTCGGTGGACATGAGTTTGAGCAAATGCCAGGAGATGGTGAAGGAAAGGGAAGCCTGGTGTGCTGCAGTCCATGGGATCTCAGAGTCGGACACGACTGAGCAACTAAACAGCAAAAAAGGGTCAGGCATGTGAATACCAAGGGCATGAAAGCAGAGCCTGTGAATGGTTGGAGGTGGTTCAGTTTGAGGTCACATGTTTCTCAGTTCTTGGGTTATGGAATGAGTATGAGACCCGGAAGATGATGGCTAAAGCTAATATAAGCCCGTGGAATCCAGGATATCTCTCATGTCTTCTGCTCTCCAATCACGTCTGCAATGTCATCCTCATTTCTTCAAGGCCAGGGGCCAACAGGAGAGTGCCCTGCCAGGACAAACCATCCCAGAGATGCTTTTCCCCTTGGCACCGTGTCCTATATTTGCTCAGCAGCCCACATCCTGCTCTGCCCTAAGCCTTGGAGCAGACTTCCCACAAATTCATTCACATTCTCCCAGATTAAAGTCAAGCCTATATTCAGGGAGCACTTGAGAGACTTAGAGGTTCACCTAGAAGGAAGTTGGAAATTGCACTGCTAATATCAGCACTTTTGCAGTTGGGAAATTGCCAGACTGTTATACTACAATCAGTCTAACCCACCTAAATTGTTCCACAGATTAGCCATCGATTGTTAGAAAAGTCCCTGACTTCCTTTATCTTTATGGCACCAATACAAATTCAGTATCCCGGAGGACACGCCTGCTGTTAACTACGAACCTATAAATATCAAGGCATTTTTACTGAGATTGAGAAGACCCAGCAAAATGGGGATCTCCACAGTCATCCTTCAAATATGTCTTTTATTGGGTCAAATTCTATCTACAGGTATTATATCTAATTATTACATTTGTTTTTCACTGCTGTAAATCCAAATTATGGCAAAGTATATCTGTTTTTTGGTGCTATTCTTTCATCTGAAGAGGAGTTTTATATCAAGAGTGGGGGGATAGTTCTTTGGTGATCATTGTAATTGCAAAGATTTTTTGCTTTGTTTCTGGCTGAGAAATGCAATGGTTGTAGTTAGAAAAATCCAATCACTATGTCAATTGTCTTCAGTGAGTCACTCAACTAAGGAAATGATTGATTGGTTTTAGAAAAATTCCTGAAATTAAGGAAAAATGTGTATTATTAAAACTAAAGCTTTGTTATCATTGATCAAGCCTGTGGTTTGTGTATTGATGAACATGGCCAGCAAAGATTGCCCTGTAAATGCGCGTAATGTGACTTCTGTCTGCAGGTATTTCTGGTTTGATAATTAACATTTACCAAGCAAAATCAGATCACATAGCTGAGCACAGAAAAGATCATTAAGATTCCAAGTCTATGTTTGTCACTGCTTTATTTTTAAATTTTTATTTATTCATTTGGCTGTGTGGGGTCTTATTTGGAGCACACGGGACTTTGGCTGTATCACGTGGGATCTTCTGTTGCAGCACATGAGCTTAGCTGCCCTAAGGCATGTGGGATCTTAGTTCCCTGACCAGGGATCAAACCTGCATCCTCTTCATTGCAAGGCAGATTCTTAACCACTGGACCAGTGGGGAAGTCCCACTCTGTGACTGCTTTAGATAAATGATTTGGAGATTAGTTTTAAGCACATTTTGGTGTTCTTAGACTGTCAAGTGACAAAATGGACATGAAAGAGCCCTGGGCAAGTCACTGAGACCTTGAACCGCAATGTTGTTTTACCGAGATGCTAGGTGAACAGGATGTTTAGCCAGTCTGTTTAGCATTTCTCCCTTCCTGCCTGTCTCTCTCTCTGGTTCTCCTATCTTTCTCTGTCTCTGTGTCTAGGTCTGTGACAGGCAACTCACTGACAGGCAACACCTGTCAGTGTTCCCCTCTTGTCAGGAGGACCTCGGCGGGTACTGGCTCTGGACAGACTAGGGCTAGAGACTGTGTCTCTATCAGAACACTGGAAAATGGAAGGCAGTGTTCTCATCTCTGGCTTTTATCAATATGAAGTTCATCCCCAGTCCTGCACTGGCTCTGAAAAGTGACAGGGGGTTCACGTCAGCCCCTAAGGGAGAGGGAATGAATTGACCTGTCCTCCTCTACAAAGGGGGCTTTCCTGATAGCTCAGATGGTGAAGAATCTGCCTGCAATGCAGAAGACCCCGGTTCAATCCCTGGGTCAGGAAGATCCTCTGGAGAAGGGATAGGCTACCCTCTCCAGTATTCTTGGGCTTTCTTGGTGCCTCAGCAGGTAAAGAATCTGCCTGCAATGTGGGAGACCCAGGTTCGATCCCTGGGTTGGGAAAATCCCCTGGAGAAGGGAAAGGCTACCCACGCCAGTATTCTGGCCTGGAGAATTCCATGGACTTTAGAGTCCACGGGGCCACAAATATTTGGACATGACTGAGTGACTTTCACTTCACTATCTACAAAGGGGCTTATGACACCCTCTACGAGGGGCTTGAGGGGGCTGTGGTTTTGCGTGTTATGTGCACACACATGCACAGACACGCATGGCTGCATTTGCATTTTAGACATGAGAATTAAACCTCTGCAAAGTGGTTGCTCTGTACCAGGTACTCTGCGAGACAGACACCTACCTTTTCTTGTCTAAATCTGCTGACAGCTCCCAAGTTGGGTATCCACACTGCAGATGAGGCTCAGAGAGGTTCTGTATCTTGTCCAAGGTCAGCAGTTGTTGCAGGGCTGGGCCAGGATTTGAACCTAGAGGAGGTCCACTGAATTTGAGTAGAGGATTTGGATGGTAAGCTCCCACAGTTTCTTGCGGAGAACTCAGCTGACGAGATGAACGGTGGCTTTCAGCTCAGCGCTGGAGCCCTATGGAGGAGCTCCGTGCTGGGGAACCCCGGACAGCAGACACTGCCCAATTTGCACCAATTTGCACTAGTCTTTGCACCAATTCTTGAGAAAAAGTCAATGAGTTCAGGTTTGTGCTGGGCTAAAGGGGCCATGAAACTCCTTCTGCTCCTGGCAATGTCTTTGGTTCTGCCATTTACCAACTCTGGGGCCTTTGCAAGCCTCAGTTTACTCACTGATAAAATGGGGTAGTGTTCCAGCTTCATAAGGTCGTACAGACATGGGGTCACCCATGTGGAGTCTGGCATGTGGAGAGTGTCTGGGCGCCGTCCACTGTTACTCTTCTGAGCATAATCCTAACATGACTTCCTAAATACAAGGTAGTATGTTGGATTGGATCCTAGAAAAAGGAAAAACTGGTGAAATCCAAATAAAGCCCGGAGTTTTGTTAGTAGGAGTGTACCCTTGTTGGTTTGGTAATCGCGACAAATGTAGCTTGGTCATATGAGATGTTATTATGAGGGAAAATTGGGTAAAAGGATATGGAAACTGTATTTTCTGCAGTTTTTCTGGAAAGTTATTCCGAAATAATCTTTTTTTTTTTAACTCAACTTCCCTTGGTCTCATTTCTTCAAGGTCAAAATAAGAAAGTAATAATTGCATACAACCTAATTCCTGGAAAAGTGTTAATGCTTGTACTTCCCCTTTTCACAGTTTATCAGGGATTTGGGCAATAATTAACACCTTAAAAAGAAGGAGGAAATTGTGAGATGTCCTTAGGTGGCTGACATTGGGCTGGGGTAGGCACTTCTGTTATCCTTTAAATAGGTCCCACAGATGTCTAATTATTCCCTCATCAGCTCTCTTCACTGCACCTTGTCTTTACTGCACAAGCTACCCTCTGGGAGTTAGGTCACTCAGTCCAATCTAGGTGTGGAGTGTTCCAGAATGAAGAGGAAGTCCAAGGCCACGCCCAGAGCCTGAGTCTCAACCAGGCACCTAGGACTCTCCTTTCCAGCCTCCGGTCTCTCCACAGCTGGCTTGACAACCCCCACCAGGGTTTCAGTTCCAACCTGTCCCCTGTTGTTTTCCACCCCATGATTTTATTTGTTCTGCCCCTTTTCCAGCAGGATGTCTTACAGTACAGAGCAAATCTATCCTGGCCATCTTACACCCAGCAGGAGTTGCCTCTTGCCATGGTGACTGCTCTCCTGCTGTTCCCTCCACCTGGAACATAGGCTTATTCTTCCCCTCCCACCTCCTCACCTCTAGCTAAATCTAGCTGCTCTTTTTTAAATACCATGGGCATTGTCCCATCCAGGAACCCTGACGTGTACTCTCAACACACACACACACACACACACAAGCAATGTGTCATCCTATGCTTGCCACTGTTATTCTGCCATAGCATCTTAACTCTATGGATTTTTCTAGAGATCCTGCTATGCGGGGAGTCCCTGGAGGGCAAGGACCATGTCTGGCTCACTTAGTACAACACCACGCATCCCTTGGAGCCTAGCAGAGGCTCCTGCTGGCCGTAAGGGAAGGGCAGGAGAACGCTTCCTGAGCCATTCTCTCTGTGCCCTATGCCAGGTCCTGAAAAGTATTTCTCGTCCTTATGTACAGTTCAAAGGGAGCCAGATACCATACTGGGGCTCCCCAGGTGGCTCGGTGGTAAAGAATCCGCCTACCGATGCAGGAAACATGGGTTCAATCCTTGGTCCGGAAAGATCCCCTGGAGTAGGAAATGGCTACCCTCTCCAGCATTCTTGCCTGGGAAATCCCATGGACAGAGGAGCCTGGCAGGCTACCGTCCAACAGGCAAAAAGAGTCGGACATGACTTAGTAACTAAACAAGACCCCATATCAGGAGCAATCTGTATAGTTGCTAGGTCATGTCTGACTCTTTGCGACCCTATGGACTGTAGCCCGCCAGGCTCCCCTGTCTGTCGGAATCTCCAGGCAAGAATGCTGGAGTGGGTTGCCATTTCCTCCTCCAGGGGATCATCCTGACCTAGGATTGAACCCACATCTCCTTCACTGGTGGGCAGATTCTTTATCAGTGAGCCATCAGTGAGGCTCCTAAATCTGTTTCTCTTTTGCATGTGTATTCATTTGTGTTGTTTAAAAACTGCACATAAGTGATATCATACAGTATCCTACACGTCTCTTCTCCACTCTTGGCTGCCCTAAACCCACTGCAATGCCGTGGCATGGAGCTGGTGGGAACAGAGCATTACCAGGTAGATAATGGGATCATTCACAGGAAAGCCATGAATGCTGCTTCCCAGTGGATAATCGTGACCACTGAACATGGAGTGCAGTTGTATGAGCTGGGCTCTTGAGAAGGGGAGGGCAGGGACAGAGGGTGGACTAGCTATTCTTTGAGTCCCCAAAGCTGGGTTGGAAGGGAAAGAGGATTACAGTGACCAGACTCCCCTTGTCCTGAAATAGGCAACCTGACACTGAATCCCAAATACCTGTCCATTGCTGGGAGGTAATAGTTTGAACACACACCCTCCCCGTGCCTCAAATTCCTCCCTAGAAATGGCCCATTTGCTGCCTGATGACTGCACTTGAGACCTCCTATGCTGTTACTGCCCCAAACTCCACCAACCCCAGTGCTGTCAGGGGCAATGCTGACCACAAACTCTCCATTACTAAAGATTATTATTTCAGAATGCTTTGCTTTCTGACAAGTTGAAACAGAATCTCATTTGCACTTGAATTTTGGGAAGTGGTGGAGCTGAACTATGAGCATATTTACTCTGGGGTCAGTGCCCTCGACTTGCGGCATCAATTTCACTGTCAGTGCTGTTTGACCTTTGATAAGCTGTTTTACATCCCTAAGCCTTGGGTTTCACTTCCATAAAGTAGACTGTGTAATAATCTGACACTGTAATAATCTGATAGAGGATATCCTGAGGATAAAAGGAGATACTGCAGGTAGCACAGTTAGCTCAGTGCTGGGAATGCTGTAACTGCCAAGAAATAAGAGCATATCCTCCCTTCCCTACATGTTCCCTCCTCTCCCCTCCTTCTCTTTCTCTCCTC